ACTCCAACCACGCCATGTCATCTCACATTAGGACTTGTACAACTTCAAATCTCTGTTGTACACATTCTCCTACAGAATTTTAGTCTTAACAAGAAGCACGATACAACAACTTGTATTTTGATCTCTATGAGAAGAAGAGGCAATATTGAAGTCAAGCATTTTCTCGCCTAAGAATTTGAGCTCATGTTCTTTTTTTTGTCTCTTGAAATATAAGAGTTCATGTTCATATATCTTTTTATAATGTGGTTCAAAAAAAAATTATATTTCTTTATAAAAACTACGTTATTTGTTTTTCTACGTTTTAGATACTCCAAAGCCATATACCTATATTGTAGATTAAGAGAATTCCTAAAATTGATGTTCCAAATGGATCAAGTTATAACAATATTATGAGGTGTTCTTTGTGGAGCAAACTTTTTTTAATGGGATTTTACAATGCATATAAGTATATGTAAATTTTAATTTTCTCGGACTAATGATTAAGTATTATTGTAGCTTGATCAGTGTGTACCATATTTCCTGCATATGATGTTTTTTTTTCCATCTGATTTAGCAAGCGAAACAAGCAAATTGGCCCCAATAATGCTCTTTTAGCTTCTATGAGGAACACTAAAGGTTAATTTTTAATATCTACACATGAATTTCTCTTCAAGATGTAGAAGACTAAGATAGAATCCTTGAAAGAGGTAAAACCGCAAAATTTTGATGGTGATATTTTACTTTACTTACTACAACCTCCAATGACCTCACTTACGACTCGCATTGCTTAGCGTAATGGGTGTCTGCTACAGCCTATATGTCATAAAATCTTGCCATTGCTTATAACTTTGCCAGAAGATTATTGGTAACAAACCAAAATCTAGCGAGTCAAGCCAAGATGGCCACACAAGTTGTGGAAACTACTAAACGCAACATTACCAATGAAACCAAGCTTAACAACGTCTTCAGAAGCCCATTTGTGTAATGCATATCAACTTATATACCCCGATCTGCATAGGACAAAATGATTTGTATTTTTATTGCACCACCCGATTTGTACCAAGCCATGAAAGAAACATACACATCACAAGTCCCATAATCACATCAGGTTTGCTTTTCTCTTTGTCTTAAGTCCCATAATCAATTCAGATTTGTAACTCTTGGAAGTTTTATGCGGTTCTCTACCTTAATGGATGAGGTTACGTAAATAAACTTTGAATACAAAGAAGGTCAATTGTGAATAATGTAGCTAAGCTTATAATTTGTAGAGCTATTAACGCTTTTATTTTTTTTAGAACAAAAATTTAGTTTAACGGAAATATTACAGTAAAATAGCCGAATGTGCATGTTACATATATACATAAGCATTGCAGAAAGTATACCTTATAAAGTATACAGAGGTTGAGGTGATACTATAGAAAAGTTTTTTAAAAATTATAGCTTTCTTGGCTTTGCACACGTAGAAGTTTCACTAAGGATCGCCATCCAGGCTTCTCTTTGAACGTGCGATGACATATTTAACAAGTGTATTTGCCTTTGCTTTTTATTATAATGGTTAGTTATATCGAACATTTAAAATATTCCCAATCTGTTCAGTTCAGATTGGTAACTCTTAAGAGTCTTATATGGTTAGTTCTCTACGTCATTTTATGATATTAAGTAAAGATTCTTTAATTAAATTTATACTAGATCTTGATACTTGAGATTTTTTTTTATCATCAATCTAAATAGAACGTGCATATTTTTGTTAATACTAAAATGTTTTAGATTATACAAAAATAGTTAGCAATATATTAACATAATTTGATGTTATATATTATTTAAATTTATAATAATGTTTGTGTGGCTTATAATATGATTACTATAAAATTTATAAATTTTTATTTTTTGCAACAATTTAAAAAAACACTATTATATAACAGTAATATTGTTTTATTTCTAAATTTTAAATATATGTGGAAATTAAATTAAGTTGGACATACATAATAGAGAAATAATTTTTAGTATATTTTAAAAATTATTTTACATAATTTTGTTATAAATAAAAAATGAATATTTTTTAATTATATTTTCTGGTAACTAAAACTTCAAATAACTTTTCAAAAAATATTTTTTTGTATTTAAAATAAAATTAAAGATATGAAAAGATATTACATAATGGTGTTATGTAAAATTTAATAAATATTCTAAGAATGGTCCAAATTAAAAAAAATCACTCATGAAATGAGTTAGGACTTCTATTTTAATATAATAGATAAGTATTAATATTAGAAAAACAAACAATTTTGACATCCAAACAATTATCAAACAATAAATTAAATTTTAGTCTACACCTCCCCTCACATTTGATTATCATGCACCTCCTCTTATGTTCTCCCGGTCCTTAATTAAATCCTATAACTTATTACCCTATAGCTTATTACACTTACACGTTACACCTAACCAAACCACATACATTACAATATCTTTAAATTATTACTCTATAAATTAATATATATTTAAAAACTCTATAAATCTATATAATTTTATATTTCTAAATTAAGTTTCGATTCAATTAGTATATCGATAAATTAATAATCTCGATAAATTAATAAAAAACTATAATTTTTGGTATAATCCCAACATTATTAGTTTATAGAGGTTTCTCTGTATGTTTAACATTGCTCACGTACATTGTGTATTGTTAAATTTTTGATATTTCTAAGTATCTAAGAAATATAGATTTAATGAATGAATGTTATTTGATACTAACATTATTTTGATATTTTGAAGTATTCAAAAAGGTTTCAAGTCCACATAGATCTAACCTTTTTATATTTTGAAATATTTAAGACATATGGATTTAATTTATTGATATTGAGTCCATTTTTTCTAGAGAAGTTCTAGATTTCAAACGTCCACATAGATCTTAAAAATTGGTACAGACAATACTAATCAACTAAATTAAACTGTCAACCAAATCAACAACAAACAATGTGTACACAAAATTTATAATATATCACATTTCGTTCGTAACGTGAACCCACCCTAGTAAATTTAAAGTATATTTTTATTTATGGTTAAAATTTTTTAACTTAAAGATAGTTTGAAGTTTAATAGTTAAACTTTATGATTTAGGGAGAAGAGTTTTGGAGCTTAGAGTTTGTAATTTAGAGTTGAAGTTTAGACTAATGATTTAGTATATGGTTTAGATTTTAGATATAAAAATTTGTGTTTCATGTTAAAAAAAAAAAAGATTTGGAAATTTATGTTGAAGTTCTGTGTTAAAGTTTTAATATAAGTAGACTTGGAGTTTTTGATTTGAGATATATTGTTTATGATATAGGTTTTGAAATATATATATGTAGGGTTTGAAGTATGTAGTTTAGTGTTTAGATTTAAGATTTAAGATTTAAGAATTTAGTTATAAAATTTAGATCTAGAGTTTAGGTTGAAGTTTTTGGTTTTGAGATTTTTATTTGGAGGATAAATTTATTATTATGCTGTATGATTTATTTTGAGATTTAGGGTTTAGAAAAAATTAATATAGTCACTGAAATACCATGGCAAAATAGTGACCATTTAGCCACGTTCTAGGCATAACTTTTGAACCATGACTATTGTAGTCTAGGTTTGTACACAGATTTTTAAACGTGTCAATGTAGCCACAAAAAAATAACTGTGAAAAATTGTGGCTATATTTTAGTCACGAAACGGACACGAATAGTCTTTTTTTTTTTTTTTTTTTTTTTTAACACGAATAGT